CGCTCGGAATACTGTGGACCGTGATTCTGCTCAAGCCGGCTTTACTGCCGAAATCCCTCTCCCCAACCAGGGCTTTTCGGCCCGGTTTCTAGGACGGCCCCAACCACCGCCCCATTAGTATCTGTGTCGCCACCAGCGCTTACCACTTGTACAAGGGCGGTTTCCAGGTCCAAAGATGTCTTCATAGCCCATAAGCCTGTCTGCAAACAGAGCAGGGTGTGCCCGATTTGTCCTTGATCCAATGCCAGGTCTCCAATGTCCTTACTGACGCGCATGGCCCAGTCCTGGATTTCAACAGGGCCCCCGTCGGCCACTCCTGCTTCAATGATATCTGGGATTGGCGGGTCAATTCCCTTCAACAGCAAGGCGATGGCCGCATTCAGAATGATGCAGGACCACTGGCACGTCGGCGCAAAATGTGTCACAGCGCAGGTGGTGGCGCTGTCCCTGACCAAATTTGCTGGATTGGAATGCCTGGCCAGGGCCACGGGAGCACACCTCATAAGGCCACCGTTGGGAGCGATGTGGCCTCGTTCCTCGTAGATAATCCGACCTGCTTCCGGTGGCGAGTGACCCTCCTCCAATAACCCAATTACGGCGGACGTGGTTATGCCGATTCCCCTGCCGTTATTCCGGCGCCACCGCACCAACCGCCGGGCGAAATCGTCTATGTAATCTACTCCGGCCACCAAAGCTTCTCCCAGGTCCGCCGCCTGGGCCAGGTCGTCGTCCATGGGTTGCAGCCGCTCAAAGGAGTTGATTTCCATTACCCCGTCCGAATATTCCCTGGCAATCGAGGCCGCGGACATGCCCTCCACCGGCAGACCCAGCAGGTTCCCCACAGCCAAGCCCGTCAAGACTCCGCGCGCCCGGTCAGGCAAGACCGAATTGTCACCAGCAAGTTTATTCAACAGAGCTACCAGGTTTGGAGCTTCGCGTACAATGGGAGAAGTTGTCATTTGGAGACACCTCGGTCAGACTTGGGAAGATAGCTTAAGAATATACATTATTCCAATTTCAGGCCTTCCATGAAACAGGTATATGAAAGCCTGTTCGAAGTCGTTAATTTGACAGCCTACGCCCCGGCCTATAGGCTTGGCTTCTAATCCCCAACAATTTACCAGTGTGAAACTATGCATAACTCAGACCGTATAAATAAACTGAAATCGCTACTCCTTCGACGAATTCTTGTCGTAGATGGCGCCATGGGCACTTCGATTCAGGGCAAGGAGTTGGGACCGGAGGATTTCGGTGGGGCGGACTACGAAGGCTGCAATGAGTACCTGACCCTAACCAGACCGGATGTGATTTCCGACATTCACCAGGGATTCCTGGATGCCGGAGCGGACATCCTGGAAACCAACACCTTCGGCTCTACTTCGGTAGTTCTGGCGGAATACGACCTGGCACATGAGGCACTCCGGCTGAACCTGTCCGCCGCCAAACTGGCCCGCGAAGCGGCGGATGCCGCGTCCACTACCGACCGGCCCCGATTTGTGGCCGGATCTATGGGGCCCACTACCAAGACCATATCTGTGACCGGCGGAATTACCTTTGACGAATTAGCGGAATCATACCGTGAGCAGGCAATGGGCCTGGTTGAGGGCGGCGTTGACCTGCTGCTGTTAGAAACCACGCAGGACACCATCAACGCGAAGGCCGGCCTCATCGGAATTGACATGGCCTTTGCTGAACTCGGTTACGAAATTCCAGTGGCCATACAAGGCACCATTGAACCCATGGGCACATTGCTGGCGGGTCAGGACGCTGAGGCATTTTACACTTCCCTGGCTCATCGCGACCTGCTTTGGATTGGCTTCAACTGCGCTACCGGACCCGATTTCATGACGGACCATGTCCGCACTCTGGCTGGCCTGTCCCGTTTTCCGGTCGCCTGCGTGCCCAACGCCGGCCTGCCCGACGAAGACGGCAAGTACAACGAAACACCTGAAATGCTGGCCGCCGCCATCGGCCGCTTTGTCAACAATGGCTGGCTCAACGTTATTGGTGGTTGCTGCGGTACCGGACCGGAACATATCCGGTTGCTGGCCCAGCGGGCTGCCACTTCCAACCCCAGGACACCCGTAAAACTTCAGGAAACCCGAGTTTCCGGCATTGAAGCCCTGGTAGTAGACGAGGACACCCGACCCGCAATCGTGGGCGAGCGCACTAACGTCCTGGGCAGCCGGAGATTCCGCCGCCTCATCGGCCAGGGCAAGTTCGAGGAGGCCGCCGAGGTTGGCCGACGCCAGGTTCGAAACGGCGCCCACATCCTGGACGTGTGTCTACAGGATCCGGACCGGGACGAAATGGCCGACGTTATCGAGTTTCTTGACCTGGTTACCAAGAAGGTTAAGAGCCCCATAATGATCGACTCCACTGACGCCGCCGTAATCGAGGAATCCCTGAAACGACTGCAGGGCAAGTCCATCATCAACTCCGTTAACCTGGAGGACGGCGAAGTCCGTTTTGAGGCAGTGGCGCCCCTGGCCAGGGCTTACGGTTCCGCTTTGGTTGTCGGCTGCATAGACGACGACAAGCAGCAAGCCCAGGCAATCACCAAGGAACGCAAGCTGGAGATAGCCCTGCGTTCCCGGCAGTTGCTTACCGAAAAGTATGGCATCCCCGAAGAGGATCTGATATTCGACCCGCTGGTCTTCCCTGCCGGCACCGGTGATCAGAACTACGTGGGCTCCGCCGCAGAAACCATAGAAGGAGTTCGACTGATCAAGGAAACCTTGCCCAATACAAAGACGGTTTTGGGCATTTCCAACGTTTCCTTTGGCTTGCCCGCAGCTGGGCGCGAAGTGTTCAACTCCGTATTTCTCTACCACTGCGTCCAGGCCGGCCTGGACATGGCCATCGTCAACTCGGAAATGATGCAGCGTTATACCTCAATCCCCGAGGAAGAACGCCAGCTTTGCGAGGACTTGATATGGAACCGAGGTGAAGACCCAGTGGCGGCCTTTGCCGCCCACTTCCGGGACAAGGCGCCCAGGTCCACCACCGAGGAGCGCCGCAACCTGCCTCTGGACGAGCGATTGTCCCTGGCCATTATTGAAGGCTCAAAGGAGGGACTGGCCGGGGACCTGGACGAAGCGTTGCAGGGACGCGCGCCATTGGAGGTTATTAACGGCCCGCTCATGGCTGGCATGGACGAGGTGGGGCGCCAGTTTAACGCAAACCAACTAATTGTGGCTGAGGTGCTTCAATCTGCAGAGGCGATGAAGTTCGCCGTTGCCCATTTGGAGCCGCACATGGAAAGAGCGGATTCGGCCAGTAAGGGCAAGGTAATCCTCGCCACCGTCAAGGGTGACGTTCACGACATTGGCAAGAACCTGGTGGACATTATCCTGTCCAACAACGGCTACCAGGTCATCAACCTGGGCATCAAGGTTCCGCCGCAGGACCTGATCGCCGCCTGTAACGAGCATCACCCGGACATAGTTGGTCTCCGGACTGCTGGTCAAGTCGGCCCAAATGATGGTGGAGACGGTCCGCGATTTCCGCCAGGCGGGGGTTGGCCCCCCCATACTGGTGGGAGGCGCTGCTTTGTCTAATCGGTTCACGCGCTTGCGGATTGCCCCGGAGTACGGCGGACTGGTGGCCTACGCTCAGGACGCCATGAGTGGACTGGCTCTGGCAAACACGTTGCAGGACGCCGACGAACGGCAAAAGCTGGCAGCGGATATCGAAACCGAGACCGACGAGCTCATCCGGTCCGCCCAGGCCAGGGAAAGCGCCGAGGCTTCCAACCCTGTTTCGGACGTGGCGCCGGCCCAGATCAGTCACAACTTGGAAGTGCCCAATCCCCCGGACCTGCGGCTGCATGTCTTACATGACTACGACCTGAACGAAATATTCCCGTACATCAATCCCCAGATGCTCTATGTCAGGCATCTGGGCTACAAGGGACGGTTCGAAGAGGCCCTGCAGCGCGAAGAAAGCGACGCCTTGGAACTGCGCGATTCAGTGAGGAAGGTCGAAGACATCATGCTGGCCCACCCGGGGATTCGGGCTAATGCAGTCTTCAAGTTCTTCCCATGCCGCTCCGACGGACAATCCCTTCTGGTTTTTGCTCCCGACGGTGAGACTATATTGGAGCGTTTCTACTTTGGTCGGCAGTCTCAGCGAGAGGGACTGTGCCTTGCCGACTACGCCCGCCCGGTGGGAGCAGGCCAACCCGACTACGTGGCGATGTTCACCACCACTGTCGGTCCGGCAGTGCGCACTCTGGCCGACGAAATGCGGGACCGAGGCGAGTTCCTCAACTCTCATATCCTGCAAGTCCTGGCCCTGGAATCGGCTGAGGCTTTTGCGGAGTTGCTGCACAAGCAGATCCGGCAGATGTGGGGCATTGGCGACCCGGCCAGCCTGACTTTCCAGGACCTGTTCCGCACCCAGTACCTGGGCCGCCGCTATTCCTTCGGATATCCGGCCTGTCCCCGCCTGGAAGACCAGGAACAGCTCTTCCGGTTGCTGGACGTTACCGGCAACATTGGAGTGGAACTAACCGAGGGTTACATGATGGACCCGGAAGGTTCTGTCTCCGCCATAGTCTTCCACCACCCTGAAGCCAAATACTTCAATCTAAGCGAGCAGGATATTGAAAGATTAGAGAGAGATAACCTCTAAAGGCTTATAATAAAAAGAGAGACCCGATTGGAAACCTATTCATTCAGGGCCCCGGGTTACTCGGGGCCCTTTGCTTTGACCTAACTATTTCTCAATAGTCAAACAAGGAGAAATCATGCTGCCCGTCAATCAAGTAGCCGGACAACTGGGAATACCGCAGGAACACCTCGTACCTTATGGACACTACAAGGCCAAGATTTCGCTGGACGCCCTGCAGGGCAGGGAAAACCAGCGGGGTAAGCTCATAGTGGTTACAGGCATCACTCCCACGCCGGCCGGCGAGGGCAAGACCACCACCTCGGTGGGCCTGACCCAGGGGTTGGGCAAACTGGGACACAAGGCCGTAGTTACCCTTAGGGAGCCCACCCTTGGCCCAATTTTCGGCATCAAAGGCGGCGGCACCGGCGGAGGCATGGCTCGTGTGGTGCCCGAGGATGACATTAACATCCATTTCACTGGCGATGCCCATGCTGTGGCCTCGGCCCACAACCTGCTGGCCGCCCTCGTAGATAACGCCGTTTTTCGCGGCCAGATTCCCGGTTTCCAGCCCACCGGCATTCAATGGTCGCGGGTAACGGACGCCTCTGATCGTTCCCTGCGCAGCCTCATCGCCGGCGTGGGAGGCAGTAACAACAGTCCCTTGCGCGAGACCCGTTTTGACATAGTTTCAGCGTCAGAAATCATGGCTATCCTTGCACTGGCTGCCGACCCGGAAGACCTGCGACAAAGGTTGTCCCGTATGGTGGTTGGCTTCTCAGACTCCGGCGAACCGGTTAACGTCGAACAGTTGGGGGTAGTTGGTTCCCTCATGACCTTGCTGCGCCACACAACTATGCCAAACATGGTCCAGACCCTGGAGGGCCAGCCGTCTATTATCCACGCGGGGCCCTTTGGCAACATTGCCCACGGATGCAGTTCCATCATCGGGTGACAAGGTCGCTCTTGCGTATTCCGATTACGTAATTACGGAGGCGGGGTTTGGCTCGGACCTGGGCTTCGAGAAGTTCATGCACATCAAGACGCGCCAAAGTGGACTGCAACCTTGTGAGGCCGTTCTTGTGGCCTCCGTTCGGGCGCTCAAGTGGCATGGCGGGGCCAACCGGCGTGATCTGGCCACACCCAACCCGGAGGCGGTAACCGCCGGCGGTTCCAATCTCGCCCACCACATTGACATCGTGCGTGGGTTTGGACTCCCTTGCGTGGTGGCTATTAACCGGTTTGGGACTGACAGCCCTGAGGAACTGGATGCCGTCCGCACCATTGCCATGGAGGCCGGCGCAGATGCGGCGGTGGAAGCCGACGGATTCGCCCGTGGTGGCGAAGGAATGACAGACCTGGCGGAAGCCGTAGTCAAGGCTGCCGAGAGCACGCCCGATGTCACCTACGCCTATCCGCTGGAAGCCCCGGTGGAAGACAAGGTGCTGTCGCTGGCCCAGCGGGTTTACCATGCGGACAGCGTCAGTTGGTCGGCGGAAGCCCGGCGCCGCCTGCGCCAGTTCGAAGCCCAGGGCTGGGGCAATCTGCCCATCTGCATGGCCAAGACCCACCTTTCCACGTCCCACGACCCCACATTGCGGGGCAGCCCATCCGGTTATACCTTCCCCATAGCCGACATCCGCGCTTCGGTGGCGCGGGCTTCCTCTACGCCCTGGCCGGCCGTATTGAAACCCTGCCCGGCCTGCCCACTCGTCCAAGAGCCATGGACATGGACGTATCGCCGGACGGCGAGGTTGTCGGCCTGTAATTGACCCTGTACGCTTCGGCAAACTTTGTTTTCAACAGACCCAGTCCCGAAATGGACTGGGTCTTTTTCTTATGTACCCCAATCCACTTCTCAAAAGTGTAATACAAGGTGTTGACGTCAGGTAATGCACAAGTTTATACTTACGTGTAAGTTGTAAGTCAACAGAGTAAAAGGAGTGATCAAATGCAGGACAACGAAGCCCCGAAGAGGGAAAGATTGATACGTGGAGTAGGGCAGACGGTTACCGACGCCGTGGTACGTGGGACCGACGAGGCCGTGACAGCAGCCGAGAACCTTAAAGAGACCATCAAGAGCAAGACCTCGGGAGACCGCCAGGCCCGCGACAACGTCGTAATGGTCCGCGTGGACAAAGACAGCCTCGGCAAGATGGATGAACTGGTCGAGGCAGAAGTGGCCGGCAGCCGATCCGAAGCCGCCGCTTACCTGATAACCGAGGGCATCAAGGTCAGGGAACCCCTGTTTAAGGCCATCTCGGCCAAGGTTGAAGAAATACGTAAGGCCAAGGAAGAGTTGCGAAACCTGTTGAAACAGGAGCAAGGGGGAGAATAGTTATTTCCTCCGTACACCGATTGCACACCGGTTAATTTCTTGTGGTTGGGATTCTCCGAAATTGGCTGCCCATAATAAGCCAACCCAACTGAAGATATCGAGGTTAAACATGGCTAGAGGATTTGGTACAGGCAGTTCTGGTTCGAGAAGCGGAGGTGGGTCTCGAGGAAGTTACGGCGCGCAAGGCGGAAGCAGGTCTCGCAGCAGTTCCTCCACTGGACGTAGCGCTCGAAACGGTTCAGGCAACAACAATCTTGCCAAACCAAAGGGGCAAATCAGGGACGGGAAAGTTGTTCAATACTCGATAAAGGATCGAAAGGGAAGTACGAAATACATTGGTTCTACCAACAACCCTACCCGAAGAGCAACCGAGCACCGCGAAAGTGGCAAGTTTGGCCGCAATGACAAACTAGTGGTTGAAACAAGGTCGGTGTCCCGAACTTCTGGAGAGAAGATAGAGAAGGCTAAGCTCCGCTCCCATCGGCAGCAACACGGTAAGAACCCCAAGCACAATACGACCAATGACGGGCAGTTTCACCAACCCAGGTTGTTCTGATTGACTTGTAGGATATGGGAGTCGCTTCCAATCCCATCGTGCCACGATACCATTTTAACGAAATCAGCCAAAAATATGCAAGAAAACGCCTCACAGGCCATTCTAACAATGACAATTCGGTGTTAAAATTGGAACATTCTATGTGCGACTAAATGTACGCCCCGCTCAAAGCGGGGAAGGAAGACCCATGCGAATAGTCATGATCCATGCCTTGGCGGAGTCGGTTTCGCCCGTTAAGGTTGCTTTTGGCGAAGTGTTTCCCGAGGCGGAAATTATAAACCTTCTCGACGAGGCTCTTTTCATTGATTTCAAGGGCCAGATTACGCCGAGACTGCGGCGCCGGATGAGTCAGCTCATCTGTTACTCTGAGGAATATGGGGCAGATGCCATTGGGCTGGCTTGCTCCGTTTATGCGCCGGTGGTCGAAACCGCCCAGGACCTGGTGGATGTGCCCCTGGTATCGTCATACAGCCCGGTTATGGAAGAGGCAGTGCGCTCGGGCAAGCGGATAGGAATTATCGCCTCGGTGGGCGCAACCCTGAGGGATTCCGAGTACTACCTCCACCGAACAGCAGAGGAACAAGGACTGTCAATTGAGACCGAATTGTGCTTCGCCGAGGAGTTGATTCCCCTATTCCGGAAACAAGGGGAAGAAGCTTTCAACCAACGCCTGGAAGAACTGGTTAACGGTCTGGCGGACAAGGTGGACGCCATTCTGCTGGGACAGTTTTCCATGGCCACTGCTCTGGCCAGGCTGCAGGCCAGTTGTCCGGTACCGGTCCTTTCCGGACCTCACAGCAGCGCAAAGAAGCTGAAAGACCTGCTGTCGGTGCCGGTCTGGCCGGGCCTCAACGACTGAGCATCAGAAAAGGGGTCAGGTTTCTTTCCAAAACCTGACCCCTTTTGCATTCTCGATGCTCCGCGCGCCTTTGGGTTCCTCAGTTATGGCAACCCCGGGCCTGAATGTCCCAAACCGCCTCCACTACTCCCTTCCTCACGCCAATAAACCGGTCCCACCGGCTTACCATGGCGTCCTGCTGGCCGGGGATCAATGTAAGCTGATCTCCAACCTCCAACGCCACGCCCTCGGCCACCTGGAATACGGTTCGGTCGGTGTCCATATCCAGCGCCTCAACTCCCGGCCTGCCTTCGACTCGCGGCAATCCCTTCAGGCCACCAACGGCTCGCGCCCCGGCATCACCAATCGCCACACCAGACTTGGGCGAACTAATAACTGTGCTCAGCACCTTCCCGGCAAAATGGAAGTCCGGCATGTATTCGTATCCCGTCTCCATGACCAGGTAGCTGCCACCCTGGATTTCGGTGACCTCCGGCATATCCCCTGCCACGTCGTAGCTCCAGGTTTCACCTGTCGAAATGATTTCTACGGGCAGTCCGGCGGCTAACACGGCTTCCCTGAGGTCAAGGACGGGCTGAATCAGGCGGTGGGCCTCGGTGACCCGGTCTTCCCGGTCTGACGAGGGTTCGGCCATCATTTGATGGCTCATTATTCCCTTGAAGGATAGGCCCGGCAAAGAATCGATCAGCCTGGCGAGGGCCACCCCTGCCTCTGCTTCCTGGACTCCGCACCTGACCAACCCTGTTTCCTGCTCGATGATCACCCCAATTTCAACACCGTGAGTGGCCGCTGCACCGGACAGCGCTCGAGCATTTTCCTCGCTGTCGCAGGCCACCAGAATTTCTGCTTGCCTGGCGAGAGTACAAAGACGCTCAATTTTTGGTGCTGGCACTACTTCACTGGTTATAAACACACTGGGCACGCCACCGTGCACCATAACTTCAGCTTCGGCTACCTTGGCGGCGCATACCCCGCCAACTGTGCCTCCGAGCCGTATCTGCCTGAGGGCTATGGCCGGTGTTTTGTGGTTCTTGCTGTGCCCCCTTAGCTTGCTGTGCCGACCCTCGTAGTAGTTGGACATCACGGACATGTTGTGATCCAGGGCATCCATGTCCAGAATCAGGCATGGGGTGTCAAGCTCCTCAACCGGAGTGCCGGGCTGAGGACGATATAGTTGCTGCATTTCAGGACCTCCAACGAATAACTACATGCCTTCGGACTGAGTCGGGAAGCAACCGGTTTTTAACCCAACTGCCCCCGCGCCGATATGGGCCAGTACCCAACAAGCTTCCCATCCCGTACCGCGCGGACGTAATCGAACTGATTAAAGCAAAGAGACAAGTTATGGGGTATGAGACGCACCTTGTCGTTGGGCATCAAGCGCTCCGTGGCATCTCCATCCAGTTCCAGAATGCCGTGCTCCGCGCTGAATCTCGTCGCCACAGCCCCGGGGATGCCCTCCAGCGTCGGCACACCAAAATCGGGGCCCATGGTCTTGTGTCCGGCGTCCACCACCGCCCTGCCGCCCACCGGATGGCTGATTACCGTCGCCAGAACCTTGGCAGCGGGTTGCAGTTCGGTGCGCACACCCAAGGTTTCCATATCCATCAAGGCATACGTGCCAGCCTGCACTTCGTTTATGCCGGGAATGGTTGCAACCACATCGTAATCAAAGGTGTTGCCAACACTTACTAGTGGAACCTCAAAGCCCTCTCTTTCCATTAGTTCTCGGGTGTCTACCACAGCCTGCAAGCGTCGGCGGGTTTCCGCCTCTAATTCGGTACGGTCGGAGAAGGGCAGCGGTCCCTCGTTAGCCGTGATTCCCATGATCGCCAGGCCAGGCGCCGCATCAACAGATCGAGCCAAGGCCACCGCATCAGGGCCGGGCGCCACCCCCCCATATCCGTATCCAGCATCCAGGTCAATTAAGATACCCAGGATGGCATCTTCGGCTACAGCCGCGTCCGACAGTTCCTGTACATTGCGCAAGCTATCAACTGCCAAAAAAATCCAGTTGTCCCGCGCCAAGGCCAGCAGGCGACGAATCTTGGGCACGGTTACCACCCGCCCGGCGATTAGAATGTCGTTGAATCCCGTTCCCGCGAATACCTCTGCCTCTCCCAATGAACTGACTGCTATTCCACCGGTGCAACTGGACGGCTCATCCAACAAGCCTTCATCTGCCGACACCTGGCGCTGGGCTACCTCCGGGCAACCATGGCAGGATACATGCGGCCTGACTAGAGCTTCCGTCTCCAGTGTCGCCCCATCAGGCCCTACTCTTCGGAAAAACCCGTGCACCGTATCGATATTTTGCTCCATTACATCCAGGTCCACTACGAGGGCAGGGGTGTCCAGTTCTTCTTCGCGAGTGCCAACGGGTTGAAAGATTGGCCTTTCCATTGCTCATGTCCTTGGTAATTCTTGCTGCTTGCAGGGAGAATAGCACAAATCGGCAACCCAGCAGTAGTCGGCGCATTAGCAGCATGCCAGCGGTCGCCGTTCGCAACCGGCCTTGCATTTCCGGCAAGCCAATGCAACAATGCACTCTGATTTTCGCAGTTTTGCAGGCTCTTAACAGGCCTAATTGGCCTACCCTTTGACGGAACCCGCCAAGCCCGCAGAGCAAACTCAGGAGACTCTAAATGCCCGGACTGCTGGAAGGCGTAAAGGTAGTTGACTTCAGCCACTACTTTGCCGGACCATACTGCACCAAGCTGCTGGCCACCCTGGGCGCCGACGTTATCAAGATTGAGCGGCCCGGCACGGGTGACCCGGTCCGGAGCATACCTCCCTTCGCCAGTCAACGCCTGCCTGGCGAAAGCGGCGCCTGGTTCCTCTACCTGAACACCTCCAAGAAGAGCATCACTTTGGACCTGAAATCAGACAAGGGCCGAGAGATTGCCGAGGAACTGGTTCGAACCGCGGACATTGTTGTCGAGAACTTTGCCCCAGGTGTCATGGAAAAGCTGGGCCTGGACTACGAGTCACTCAGCGCAATAAATCCTGCCCTGGTTATGACGTCCATTTCCAATTATGGCCAGACGGGCCCCTACCGGGACTGGAAAGCTTCTGAAATAAACCTGTACGCAACCGGCGGACTGATGAACATCACCGGCGAGCCGGAAGAGCCACCGCTCAAGGAGGGTGCGCCCCTGGCCCAGTTGGGCGCAGGCCAAAACGCCTTCGTCGCCTCCATGACCGGCCTTTTTTACGCCGAAGATACCGGCGAGGGCCAACACATTGACCTGGCCATAGCCGAGTACGGCACCAATGTGCTGGAAAACGCCCTGATGCAGTACAGTTATTCCGGTGTCGAATTCACGCGTGTCGGAAACCGGGGCTACGGGCGAGCTGCCTGGGGCATCTACCCTTGTCAGGACGGATTCGTGGGCATCATCGCCGGTCCGGACCAGAATTGGCCGGAAGTTGCAAACATCATGGAAAGTGAAGAATTGGCAGATTCCCGCTTCGCTTCTCGCCAGGGACGGTGCTTAACGCCGATGAGGTGGATGCCCTGATGCTGCCCTGGCTGCTGGAGCACGACAAGGTAGACATCTTCAAGGCCGGCCAAGACCACGGATTGGGATTCGCCTTCGTAGCCGGCATGGAAGATATCCTTGAAATGGAACAGCTGGTGGCCCGCGACTACTTTGTGGAGTTGGAACACCCCATTGCCGGAACTCATCGGTACCCGGGCCCGCCTATCAGCCCCGACCCAAAGGTGGCCGAAGCCTGGGTCTATCGCCGGGCGCCCCTGCTGGCCGAACACAACCTTGCGGTTCTGGGCGACCTGGGTTATTCCAGCCAGGCAGTTGAGCGTCTCTTCGCCGAGGGAGTCATCTAGATGAGCGCGGCACAACCTCTCAAGAACTACCGCATTCTGGACCTTTCCCGTATTTGGGCCGGCCCCTATTGCACGAAGCTGCTGGCCGACATGGGTGCTGAAGTCATCAAGATGGAGTCCATGCGCGTCTATGACTCCCACCGGGGACCGGTGAACCCGGCGCCCGGTATCGCCGCCTACCCGGATTCGGAACCTGGAGAAGAGGCCTGGAATCGCAACGGCTGGTTCAACTGCCTGCACATGAGTAAGTACGGCATCACCCTGGAATTGACCGAGGAAAAAGGTCGGCAGGTATTCGAAGAACTGGTATCCGTCAGCGACGTACTGGTAGAGAACTTCCGCCAGGGCAGCCTTTCCCGGTTGGGTTATGACTACGAGACTCTACGCCAGATTCGCCCAGACCTGATTTACGCCTCCATGCCCGCCTTTGGCAACACCGGACCCTGGCAACAGTATGTGGCCTATGGAATTGGCCAGGAGCAGCTTTCAGGCATGGCCCACATGACCGGTTATGCCAATGACGGCCCCATGAAGTCCGGAATTAACCATGGCGACCCGATTACCGGTTCCCACGCCGCAGGCGTCTTGCTGGCGGCCCTAAGGTATCGCCGGCGCACCGGCAAGGGCGTATTCGTGGACGTATCCCAGCAGGAATCGGCTGTGGCCCTTATAGGCGGCGAGGTCTTGGCCTACCAGATCAGTGAGCAGGAACCGGAACGCCTGGGAAACCATTCGCCCTGGTTCGCCCCGCAAAACGCCTACTCCTGCGCGGGAGACGACCGCTGGGTCACCATCGCAGCTACCAACGATGAGCAATGGCGGCAGTTGGCCGACGCAATTGGGCGACCTGACTTGGCCGGAGACGCCCGATTTGCCACTAACGAAGATCGGCTGCATCACCGCCGCGAGTTGGATGAGATCATTGGTGCCTGGGCCAAAGATCGCGACATGTGGGAGATGACCCGCTTGCTGCAAGAGCATGGCGTACCCTCCGGCCCCGTACTGCGCGGCCCCGACCTCCTGGAAAACCCGCACTACCTTGACCGAGGTACGTTCAACTACGTGGACCACCCCCGAGTCGGGCCCAAGTGGTACCAGGGCTTTGCCTGGCGCATGTCCAAGACCCCTGGCCAGGTCCACTGGCCCTCTCCCACCCTGGGCCAGCATAATCGCCAGGTCTACCGGGAGTTGTTGGGCCTGAATGAAACGGATATAGACGATCTTGAGCAGGCGGGCGTAATAGGGACCAAGCCCACAGGCTCGCGGATAATTTAACGTGCACCACTAAATTGGCAAGAAAAAGAATGGAATCGATCTGGCGAGTCGCCAATCGCCCCTGCCCACATCAATGAAGGAGGAAACTACCTTGACCACGCAGACCGAACCGGAAGCAATATACGAAATCAAGGACGGCATTGCCTATATAACCATGAACCGTCCCGAGAAGTTGAACGCCATCGACCCGAACATGCGGCAGCTACTGTGGGAGGCATTCCAGGACGTCAAGACTAACCACGAGGTGCGGTGCGCTATCGTAACGGGAAGAGGCCGTGCTTTCTCCACCGGCCACGACCTCGTCGCCATGGCAAACGACCAGGCCAACGAGGGAGTTACCACCGGCGACCTTTACGTTGAGCAGTCGAGGATTTTCAAGCCCATTATTTCCGCCATTAACGGAATTTGCCTGGCCCAGGGCTGCGGCATTGCCCTTGGCAGCGACATTCGGATTGCCTCCTCGGAGGCTCGATTCGGCTGGCCCCAGGCCAAACGGGGCATTTCTTCGGTCAGTGGCCCCGCCCTGCTGTCCCAGGTCGTGCCGAGAAACATTGCTTTTGAGTTCCTGTTTACCGGGGAATTTGTGGACTCCCAGAGGGCCCTGGACCTGATGCTGGTCAACTACGTGGTGCCCCCGGAAGATGTGATGCCCCGGGCCGAGGAAATGGCCCGCATGATCACGGCCAACGCGCCGCTGTCCCTGGCCGCAATCAAGGAGGCCTCCATCAAGGGTTCCGAAATGAACATGGAAGACCGGGTGGCCTTCGCCCAGAAAAAGCGCGACGAAGTGCTACTCTCCGAAGACGCCCAGGAAGGCGTCCGCGCCTTTGCTGAAAAACGGGCGCCGGTCTGGAAGGGACGCTAACAACTCCCTGGAACCTTAGGAAAATGAAGATGCCCGCCTGGAGCCCGAGGGCTACATGGCGGGCATTTTGTTTCTTGCTCCTACCACATCCCCGCTTACTGTGACCGCAGAGCCTTGCCGGGCAGCGCTCCGGTATGCTCCCCTTGATCTATCACGACCCGGCCGTTGACCAGAACGTACTCGATTCCGACAGGATATTGCTTGGGGTCCTCAAAGGTGGCCATCGCTTCCACCTTATCCGGGTCAAACACCACGATGTCCGCCTTCATGCCGTCGCGAATAATGCCGCGGTCTTTCAGCCCAAGTCTTTGCGCCGGGTAGGAGGTCATTTTTCGGACCCCTTCCTCCAAAGGAAAGAGACCTTCCTCCCGGACGAATTGCCCCAGCACATAGGGAAATGTCCCATAACTGCGTGGGTTAGGGTGGCCGCCGGTCAAAAGCCCATCGGAACCTACCATTTGGGCAGGATGCCTGGCGATATTCCGGATGTTTTCCGGGTTGCCGGTACGAGCCACGAAAGCCACTTCCAGGTTTTCTTCAATGAGCAGGTCGCAAATAGCGTCGACCATTCGCTTTCCCCGGTGCTCGGCCAGGTCAACCAGCGACCGACCCTCCCATTCTTTGTTCTTGTCCGAACCGATATGGCTGAAGATGTAGTGGTCAAGGCTAAGGCCCCATTGAGGCTCCACCGTGTCCCCGATTTCATCCCGGATACTCTGCTCGTGTATCCGTCGGAAGAGCAGGTTGGGGCCACCAGCGTGGACCCAATAGGGCAAAAGGGAGTGCAGCACGGTGCTGGCCGCTGGGTAGGGATACTGATCGAAAGTCACGTCGATACCGGCGCTTCTGCCTTCGTCCACCAGCGAGACCATTCTCGTACCCAACCCTTCCACTGGACTGTGGTAATGGGAAATGTGGACTGGCACTCCGCTGCTGTGGCCAATATTGATCGCCTCCCGGAAGGGGTCCAGAAGCCGGTCACCCAAGCTGTACCGGGCGTGGGTCATGTAGATGCCACCGTTGTCGCGAATGGCCTCGCAAATCCCCACCAGTTCATCGGTATCGCTGTATGCTCCCGGCGGGTAGGTGAGCCCCGTGGAAAAACCGAAAGCGCCGTCTCGCATTCCCTGCCGGGCCAATTCCTGCATTCGGGTCAGCTCAGCCTCCGTCGGCAGACGGTCTTCCCAGCCCATTGCTTCCACTCTGATTGCCGCATGGGGTACGAAATACACTACGTTACAGGCAGCCTTACCGTCCAGCAGGTCCAGGAATTCACTGACCCGGCCCCAGCGCACATCCCTGGGCGGTGTGCCGTTGATTGCGGCCAGATAGGTCAGCAGCTCTTCCAACCGGGCCGGAGACGTTGGAGCATAGGACAGGCCGTCCATACCCAGGGCATCGGTGGTTACACCCTGCCTCAACTTTGCATCGTTGGTTGGGCTTGTCAACAGCATCAGGTCCGAATGGGAGTGCATGTCTATGAAGCCTGGACAGATTACTTTGTCGCCTGCATCTATGACCCGGTCGGCGGCAACGGAGGAAGTATCGCCGCGCAGCACGGAAATAACATCGCCGTTTATCCCAACACTTCCACGGAACCAAGTCTGCCCGGTACCATCAACAATGCGGCCCCGGTCTATCAGCAGATCAAACACGTGAGTACCCCCTCATTCATTACCTGTCCAAATTTCACAATTTCCAAAGCAAATATCCCTAAATTCTACGGATCAACGTTGAACGCTGCCGGGAAGTGAGGCCTTTCCGGGTATGCCAGATTATGTACGAGGGATAATATTCGCATTAATATTTGACATCACGGAGGGGTGCCTATAATATGCACTGACAACGCACCCTACACATCAAGGGGGGGGTAGCCAAGGATGCGTGTAAGTTTATCACGAAAGCGTCAGGCCAAACCTGAGAGTACCCAGCCCAACGGGCAGGTCGGTACAATGGTTTATACGTGGCGCGAGACCGTAACTGGGCGTTCTTTTACCTACTTCGGAAACACCGCTTCTCTCCCAAGCCGCCAACTCCCCTGTGAGCCCTAGCTTCATTAGCTTCCTACACAAGAGTCTTTGTTGGGTAGGCGTGGCTGATACTTATTCGCCAGTTTAACGGCGCAATGTATCAAACTGATGTGGAACGACTCTTTCCCGGTAGCTCTTTGAGCCCAGGACATAGAAACTTGTGTGCTCAGTTACCCCCCAAACGACGAAATGGAGACCATTAGCAACTAGGAGGAGGATTACATGCGACAACTCATGAGGTCGAAGATTCACCGGGCAACGGTGACCAATTGTGACGAGGATTATGTTGGCAGCATTGTTATCGACCAGAATTTGATGGATAAGTCCGATATCTGGGAGTACGAAAAGGTACTGGTGTGCGATATCAACAACGGCTCCCGGTTTGAGACCTACGCCATTCCCGGCGAACGGGGCAGCGGAATTATTTCCGTTCAGGGCGCCGCCGCCAAGCTGACCAACCCCGGTCACAAAGTCATCATCATGGCGTTCGAAGTAACTGAGGAACCGGTGAAGCCCAAGGCCGTAATGGTAACTGAAACCAACGAATTCGCTTACTACTTGACGGAGATTGAAAATGCCATCGCCGTATAGTGAGGCCGAAACCGAACAATACTACGACCATGAGGATGCCGTTTACCGCGCCCTTTGGGACAAGGACGGCAGCGTTCACTGGGGACTCTTTGAGGAAGGCGCCAAAATGACCTTCCTGGAGGCGGGGGCCAACCTCAACAAGGTTATGGCCCAACGCGGCCAGATCAACTCTGACTCTGTGGTGATTGACGTGGGTTGCGGCAGTGGCACCACTGCTGTTGCATTGTGCAAGTCCTCCGGCTGCCAGATTGCCGGGGTAGACCTGAGCGGCGTTCGGATTGCCAACGCTATTGATTCCCTGGATGACGAAAGCCGTGAAGTGCAAGACAAGGTGTCTTTCAAGAAAGGCTCTGCAACTGACTTGCCTATCGAGGACAATTCCTTTACCCACGCCTGGAGCCAGGCTACCATTTACCACGTTCCCGATAAGGTGAAAGTGCTAGAAGAGGTTTACCGGGTCCTCAAACCCGGGGGCATCTTCGTCTTTGACGACCTTATTAAGCCTCAGCCCAACATCAGTGAAAAGGCCAAGACATTCGTCTATGACCGCTTGCTCTATGACACCGACTTCAGCTTCGCCTCCTACCAGGAAGACCTGAAAGCTTTGGGTTTTGAAATCTTGATAGCCGACGACATTTCGGCCCATCTGAAGACCAGCTATCTCATGTTGAGCAACGCCGCGTCCCAGGGGAACGAAGAGCACCGTGAGCGGTTCGCCTTCCTAGCTGAAGCCTACCGGGAAACTGCCGCTGCCGTGGAGAACCAGGAAGTTGGCTGGGCGATGTTTGTTTGCCGCAAGTAGGATATCTTACGTGTCTGCCCGCTAATCCCGGCGCCAGAGAGATTCGAGGATAAGAATGACACAGAACAATCGTGTTCAATGGGTGTACTCCTCCCAGAACGAACAGGAACTGGAGGAGCGTTACGACCAGTGGGCTCAGGAATATGATGCGGACCTGGAGACCGATTTTGGCTGGATATCTCCGCAGCGCACGTCAGACTCACTGGCCAAGCACGTTGACAAGGAAGCGTCAATACTTGATGCAGGTGCTGGAACGGGCCTGGTAGGTGAATGCCTGCACCAGCACGGGTATCGTAAACTGACGGCCATGGATCTTTCCACCGGAATGCTGGATGTGGCCCGGAAGAAGAATATCTATCAGGCCTTAGACCAGATGACCATGGGGGAAAGGCTGGATTACAAGACCGACCAATTTGACGCTTCAATTATTGTCGGTGTGTTTACCCAAGGCCACGCCCCGGCTGGTTCGTTGGACGAATTGGTGCGTGTGACCAAGAGCGGCGGGCATGTTGTATTCAGCTTGAGAACAGATATTTACGTGGAAAACGGCTTTAAGGAAAAGATGGATGCCCTGGAATCAGCCGGGTTGTGGAAGCTATTAGAGGTGGGCGACACCTTCCAGCCATTGCCCAAGGGTGAGCCTGAGGTTTTGCACCAGGTCTGGGTTTACCAAATCAGCTAAGTTTCCTTTCTCCTCCCACTAAGGCCACCAATAATTGGGGCCATTGCCTTCGACAACTCTTAGTCGTTATAGGCAGTGGCCCCAAATTTCGCCGCTGATGACTTGCGAAGGGTCGTTATTCCCGGGTTTCCATTGGCAACCCGCGGTGCTTTACCTCGTCCACGCAGATGGGACACCGTTGCTCTACAGCATGACCGACCGCCGGCCAGAAGTCCTCAGAAGACATGCCGCACAAATATACCGGAGCCACTTCTTCTATGCCCAGGCCTTCCACGTAATGGACTTCGCCCCGCCGGTGGGGGTTTGGCCACCACCACGGCGTCAACTGTTGGGCCAACTGGTTAATGTGGTCCTTGTGTTCATCCTGCCAGCCTTCCTCGGGTAGTTCCACTACCCACGCACGGCCTTCTTCGCCGCTTTGCCGCCTGGCATTCAGTTGGCCTTCACGAATGTACCGGCGTATAACATCCTGGGAGACGTTCAACCGCCGCGATGCTTCTTGAATGGTAACTTCTTCCAAAACTGCACCCTGCTAAACGGGATTCTGGCAGACTCTCTGCCGACTCTAATACCCTAGCTGGTTGTCGCCCCGACGGTCAAGGGGTCTTCCATTGTTTCGCCCAGTGATCCGCCCGGCGGCACCATTGGGTAAAGGTTGACCGACGGGTCCACAACAAATTCGATCAAGTATGGGCCATCGTGGGCCTGGGCCTTGCGCAAGGCCGGCATTACGTCTTCCTGGTGGGTTACCTTCATCGCCGGTATCCCATAAGCCTGGGAAAGTTTAACGAAGTCCGGCCCGGGTATCGGCACCTCTTTCAGGTGATTCTCAAAGAACATCTCCTGCCATTGCCGTACCATTCCCAGATAACCGTTGTTTATCAAGGCTATCTTAACCGGCAGGTTCTCCTGGGCCACGGTGGCCAATTCCTGCGAGGTCATCTGAATTCCGCCGTCACCAGCAATGCTCCACACTGGGACGTTGGGCTGCCCTACCTGCGCGCCCATGGCGGCCGGAAGCTCAAAACCCATGGCCCCCAGGCCACCCGACGAGACAAAGGTGTTGTGCCCATTAAAGAAAAGGAATTGGGCCGCCCACATCTGGTGCTGGCCTACTCCTGTAACTATCACGGATTCCGGATTCTCCTGGATCAGCTCGTTCATTTCCGACAATACGTGCTGCACCAGCAATTTGTCCGTCTTGGGAATCGCCAAAGATGGATGGTCTTTCTTCAGACCCTCGATATAGCTCATCCATTCGGGCCGGTCGACGTTCTTCACCAGCGGGACCAGCGCCCGCATGATTACCTTGGCGTCACCCACCAGCGGAACTTCCACCGGCACATTTCGTCCGACCTGACTGGACTCTATGTCCAGGTGAATGATTCTGGCGTGGGGAGCGAAGGTGGATGCCTTCCCGGTTACCCGGTCGTCGAAGCGCATCCCCAAACCAACAACCAGGTCTGCCTGGTCCACCACAATGTTCGACCAGTACATGCCGTGCATGCCCAGCATACCCAGGCTGAGGGGATGATTGCGCGGGAAGCTGCTGAGTCCAAGAAGAGTATTGATCACAGGAATTCCGGTGGCCTCGGCCAATTCCATCAGCTCGTCCCATGCATGGGAGGCCAGCACACCGTGGCCGGCGATTAGCACAGGACGCTCGGCTTCATTGATCAGCTTGGCTGCCTTCACAACCGCAGCTTCGGTTTCTTCGGACATGGCAGCCCGTGCCGGCACCGGAATTTCGGGATACTCAAACTCGGCCAACTCAAGCTGCACATCCCGTGGCACGTCAATCAATACCGGTCCCGGCCTTCCTTCCTGAGCTATCTGGAAGGCCTCCCGGATTGTGTGAGGTAGATCCGCCGCAGACATTACGAGGTAGGTCCGCTTGGTACAGACAGAAGCTATAGAGCAGATATCACATTCCTGGAACGCTTCCGAGCCCAGCGCGGTCCTTGCAACCTGACCGTTAATCGCAACAATAGGCACTGAATCAGGCCTTGGCCCCCATCAAGCCGGTTACGAGGTTGGTTGCGGCGGCTCCCCGGGGCCCGAAGTCGCCACGCACACTCCTACCTTCCCGGTGACGCGTGAGTAACCATCGGCGGCATGGGAAGCCGATTGTTCGTGCCGAACCAGGATATGCCGCAGTTGAGGATAGCTCCACAGGGCATCGTAGAAGGGCAAGATCGCCCCGCCGGGATGCCCGAAAATTACGTCCACTCCTTCCTGGAGCAGGCTTTCACAGATGATTTCCGATCCTTTAAGTTGCACAGCAGCCTCCAATACTCTTGCCTTCTCCCGCCGAGAAAGGTATCGGGAAGGCCGCCCGTGGGCAATTAAAAAAACCCGTCCCCACATAGGGACGGGATACATTTATTCCCGCGGTACCACCCTATTTATCCGGCTTACCGGACCTCTCTTAGCGGCACTAACATGCCCCGTCACTGATAACGAGCGACGAACCTCGGCCTGGCTTACTAGGCAACCTTGTTACACCTGCTAATTGCCGTTGGGCTGGCAGCTCCGGAGGGATTTTCAACAAAGTTGGCGTACCTGCTCACACCAAACCAGGCTCGCTGAGCGCCGCGCCTTGCCTACTCGTCTCCATCATAGCCTTTACCTTGTGCAAATTATCACAGTTTCGAATGTAATGTCAACACTCTCATCGAAATTTAACGAATAATCTGAGTTGCAGTCCCACCATTGGCCGATTGTCTTTGCGTATCAACCGATCCCATCCCAACCTAACACTGAACTGTTTAAAATAGGGCAGCCCTTTCTCTATCTTCCACATAGCAAAGGCGCCACAGATCTGTTAAATCAGTGGCGCCACAGTCAACTATTAAGAGTTCCGCCTATCGGCAAGGACATCTCTGAGAAGGCTTAGTCGTTGTCGGCTACTCCGGCCATCTCCCGGCTTCCGGTAGCCAGGTGGGCGCCATAGAAGCGAAGGACCTGCTTCCAGCCGTCCACAGCGGCTTCCTGCCGGTAGCTTGGGCGGTCAACGGCGAAGAAGCCGTGGCCCGCGTTGTCATAGCGGAAGAACTCATAGTCCTTCCCGGCTGCCTTCAACGCCTCTTCCAGGTCGTTTACGTCCTGCGGAGAGGGTCGGGCATCATCATTGCCAAACAGACCCAGCAGCGGACTGCTGAGGCCAGACGTGTAGTCCACCGGCGCCACGGGTTGGCGGGAGAGCTCCAGGTCACCTTCCGGTACGGTGGTTACACCACCGCCCCAGCAGTTAACCGCAGCGTCGATGCCGTCCAGGCGACAGGCAACCAGGTAAGTCTGGCGGCCACCGGAGCAGAATCCTATAACTCCGACTTTGTCATTGTGATACGGCAAAGATCGCAGGAAGTCGCGGGCAGAAGCCACGTCGCCAAGAGTCCGGTCATCTGGCATGCCGCCGGCTTCGCGAACGCTGGTGCTGTTGGCCGTAGGATCTCCCTGACCTTCTCGGAAGTGCAGGTTGGGTGAGATACATACGTAGCCATTGTACGCCAGCTTGCGGGCCATTTCCTTGGAGGCCTCGTCCCAGCCTGGCATGTGGTGGATCAATACAACTCCGGGGAAAGGACCGGCGCCCAACGGCCGGGCCAGGTAGGCATCGATCTGGTCGCCATTATGACCATTGATATTGACAGTTTCCGCTATTAAACCTTCATAAGGCATACAGTTACCTCCAATTTATTGCTAACGTTTCCAGCTTGCGATGAGCGAAAAAGCCTCATGGCTTCTCCGCTCTTGTGGGCAGATTACTACGCAAGGGTAGTAGTGTCAATTGCGTTTATGTAAGGGATCAGGGCAATCGCATTTCAAGTGTCGAACACCGTCACCAGGGATTGGCCGGCACCAAGGTTGAGCAGAAAAAATATATTCCCCACCATTTCCGCTCGTTTCCGCCCACTTACTCCCTGCCATCGGGCCGCCTGAATGAGGTGGGGAAAATCTGCATCACAAAGACTATGTTATGAGAGGGTAACAGGGCTGTCCAGTGGTGGCTGTCATTGGACTCGGAGCATGTAGTCCCTCGAAAGAGTTGAATGAAAGGTTGCTACACGAATGTTCAACAGTGAGGTCCCAAACGCGATACCCCAGTATAAAGGGATGGCCTGAGATTTCTGAAACGTGCCGACCGCCGCTCTAACTCCATTATTCGAAGGACTCTGTGGAATCAGGCAATCCCTTTACCGCCTTACGACTATCTTTCCGCCAAACTCCCCATGGGGTCCCACGGAGGCAGCACCACCGGTTCCACGTCCAGGGCAGCCTGTAAGTCCTCGGGCAGGTAGCTCTTGGGAGCGGCGATTTCAAACATGTACTCGGCGAACCAGGAATCGTTCATCAGGAAAAAGCCCTTGTCTCCCACCTTATCGTCCCAGCTGTTTTCCACCCGCCACCGACGCGGTTTGCCTTCAACAACGTCCACTCCGGTAAACAGCATCGCGTGCGTCATGGCCGTTTGGTGATATTCCAGACGTTCCGCCTTGTCCATGGAAAACTCGGCATTGTAGACACTGCCATAATCGAATAAATCGGCATCCCACAAACCCTTGTCCCGGTGCATCTGCTTACCGGTATCGCATCCCATCCAAACCGGCATGCCGTCCTGCAGCATACGCATGGCGATGTCCTTCATAAGTTCGACATCTACGTTCAGATATTTGATCCGGGTTCCATCTACCACGTTGCCCAGATACTGGACAGTGTAAGTACGGCCCGGAGGATTGCCCTCCCGCGGATCGTGAACCAGGCAGACGTACTCGTCCATGGGGGTGGTAATGTACTTCTCAGCGAACTCCAGGGGCGTCATAGCTCCATCGCGGTGGAATTCCCCATCCTTGTCCTTCCACTGCCAGTTAAAATTGGCCGGTGGATTTCCAAGGTGTATGCAGAGAATCTGGTAGATGGATTGCAGAGTTTCCTGCTTGGCCTGGCGCATGGCGTCCAAGCCGCCCTCTTCGCCGTAAATTTGCCGGATGTCTCGTGCCCCCTGGCGCACCTGGTAATTGAGCCCCGCGTTCATTCGCATGGAGTTTCCTGAGCTTTCTGTCTCAGGCATGACGGTCTTGGGGACTACCCCCATGCTTCTTGACCAGGCTGACAAACATGTCCCACTGACCGCCGTCGCCCAGTGGCTGGTGCAACAACCAGGCCACCACCCGGTCGTCTATGGGCCGGTCTGCGGTTTCGATTACGGCTTCCAAGATGTAGTTGGCCCTCTCCATCTTGTCCCAAAACATCACGTAGCTTTGGCTAAACTCGAACTCTTTCACTTTCAGCAGATTCCTGGTTTCGGAGCGGAAGAGGTTGAGGCCGGCAAACATCCAACAGCGACCGGACCTGGCCTGGTTGGTCACTCCCCATTCATCCAGGGTCGTGGAAAAGGTATGAGTTGCCTCCGCAACAATGTTGCGGTTTAGCGCAACATCGTTGACGTCATGCTGGGTAACCACGTTCTGCATCAACTGGTGAGCAGGCTGGGCCTCAAACGCCTCCTGATAGCCGGCCAATGTAGTTGCATCCAGTGCTCCAGTATTGGATTGCGTAGTCATGCTCTTCTTCTCCTAAACTTCTCTTCCAAATGGGTGACAAGACATAAAGGCCAGGCGAGTCTGGGAACACTCATGCTCCTTGTTGGTGATTTTCAGTCGGCGGTTGCCTGGACGCTGGTCAACTCGCCAACCACGTCTCCAACCTCGGCCACCGCCCGGTCGATTTCTTCCAAGGTGGTATAGCGTCCCACGGAAAAGCGCAAAGTTTCCCATGGCATATTCCAATGGAACGTTCATAGCGGCCAATACGTGGGACACTTCAACCTGGTCACTGTGGCAGGCGGCCCCGGCGGAGGCGGCCACCGTCAGCAGGTTGGCCAATAACCGGTCCGCCTCGAGGCCCCTGAAGCTGACGCTGGTAGTGTTGGGCAATCGCTTATCCGGATGGCCGTTTATTCTCACGTCGCAGTTCAGTCCCTGCAAACCCTGTTCAAGCCGGTCCCTCATCTGACGCATGTGACCGGCATACGCCGGGAGTTTCAGTTCAATTAACTCACATGCCATACCCAAGCCCGCCATCTCTATGACGTTCTCTGTGCCAGCCCGTCGGTTTTGCTCGTGATTGGCGCCGTGCATCAGCTTTTCCAGCTTAACTCCTGGCCTTATGTAGAGGGCGCCGATACCCTTGGGCGCATAGAGCTTGTGTCCAGCGATGGACAGCAAGTCCACTCCCAGGTCATCCACCTTCACTGGTATCTTACCGACTGATTGGGCGCAGTCCGCATGAACCAGGGCGCCACACCGATGGGCTGCCTGGGCTATTTCAGCGATCGGCTCTATGGTGCCAACTTCGTTGTTGGCGTGCATTATGGTAACCAGCAGAGTCTCTTCAGTGAGCGCTTCCTCTACTTGGCTCACTTCCACTATTCCGTACTCGTCCACTGGAAGATAGGTTACTCGGAAGCCCTGACCCTCCAGGTAGTGGCAAACCTCGGTAACGGCCGGATGCTCAACTGCCGAAGTGATGATGTGGTTGCCGCGCGCTCGGTAGGCAATGGCAACCCCTTTGATGGCATGGTTATTAGCTTCCGTTCCGCCACTGGTGAATATTAGGTCGTCGTTGTCACACCCCAACAGACTGGCTACTTGGCGCGGGCC